GTTTATAAAATTATGTATATTTTTTATTATGTACATTTTTTTATACAATTATGTACATCCAAATCAATAAATTTTTGTGTATTATGTTAAGAGTTGATGTGTATTATGTTAAAAGTTTATGTTTATTATGTTTTATGTTAGATTATGTGTATTATCTTTTAAAAAAGAGTATGTGTATTTTGTTATATAATTATGTACATTAATGTATACAATTATGTGTATTCTAGTATAACATTATGTACATTTTTGAACATGAGATTTTTTTTTAAGGAAAATTAACTGCCAAACACTAGGTAGCGAAATTTCAAAAAAAAAATAAAAATGAAATGACGTCGTTTTGCATCTGGGCGCACAATTAGGGGTGAGCAAAATGTCGGTTAACCGACCGAAAACCGTTAATCGATAACCGAACTATCCGAAAAAATCGGTTACGGTTTTCACTTTTTAAAAATTGTCAAATTTTTGATTTTCGATTATAAAACGGTTATTGGAGGTCGATTATCGATCGGTGACCGATAACCGATATATAGTATTTATATATATTAAATATATTAATTATATTATAGTCCATAGCCCATTCTCTCATTCAATAGTTAATAGTTTAATACTATTATAGATTTATACCCCATAGCCTAAACCATAAAATGAGACAACCCCCCTCAGACACCCACTGTCTATCTCGCACTCTCACCCTAAAATGAGACAACCCTCATAGTTAATTAATAGTTTAATACTAGTATCATTTCTTTTGAATTTTGAATTTAGGCATTAGCAGTAAACAAAATAGTATGTATGTTTATGTATTTTGAACTTAGACTTTTGGATTTTGATTGATTTTTTTTTTTTTTTTAATTCGGTTTTTTGGTAACTGACCGATAACCGATAGTCGGTTATCGGTTAGTCATAAAACCACCCTCGGTCGGTTTCGGTTGGTTACGAGGGTCAAAATTCACGGTCGGTTATTCGGTCGGTTATGTAACCGACCGACCGTTTGTTCACCCCTACGCACAATGCAACATGCGCCGTGGTGCAGGATATAAATTGCCGTTAAAATGAGTTTAGTCCGTTTCATCCCGTAAAAAGAGCAGAGTGAATCTTGTATTTTTTGGCCCATATTATTAGCGGACATTTTAGTCCGTCCTATAAAAAATGACTGTCTTTGCGGAGAGGCGGGAGCTTGCTTAGTATGTATACATTAAAATCAATTAGTGTATATATATATACATCATTTTATATAATTATATATAAATATAGGTTTATTTATATTGAAAAAAAAGTGTATTAGTAATTAGTACATTGTATAAATTATTTGTTATTGACTTATGAATTAACACATTGTGTATTTGATTATTTATTAGGACTTCCATAGTATTACTTTATTAGTTATTATTGTGTTTAACAAATTACAAATGTATTAATATAGGTTTAAACTATCCAAATTATTTTAATATACACTTATAAACTTTTTCATATTAATTTGTATTTAAATTTAAAACATTTAAAATTTGGCGGACCCAATGCGGCCTCCCTTATGCCCATATTATTGGCGGGCTATTTAACCCGTCCTAACAACCCTAGTAGACGGTGAAGGGCCTCCCCTGATTGTGGCCTTGGTTGGGGGGAGGGGGCGGGGAACTACTGACCATTGCCAATGACAACCAACAAAATTAACATCCAGCAATATCAACAGAGAAAGGGGTTAGATGGCACTTTGTGGCTGGGCCATAGATGACAAAATCACTAATTTTGAACCAATTATAAAAAGTTACTCGATTGCACTATTTTTAGAAGTTTAATGAATAATTTGAAACTTTTCAAAATGAGGTATACTATATGTACTTCTTGGTATGACAATTGATTATTAATTATTTCATTTTGTTGATCTCAATACAAATGTCAACATCACAATTTTCTGAGATGAAATAAAAATTGATAATAAAATTTGAGAGTAAAAGTAGTATTTTCATTTTAAAATTTGATAATTCAACTACTATTTTGATAAAAGTGGAAAGAACTATTTCTCTTTTTAGCTTAAGATTGCAATAAAGTTTTCCTTAGGGGGCATTCGGCAAAGATAACACAATAGCAGTAGGCGTCTCTGCGAGCCGACCGTGGCCGTTGGCTCTAAAAAGCCTTAAACCTCTCCACCATTTTTGACACAAAACACAACCAAGAATGGGCTCTCTAACGTGGGTCTTCCCGAACCCACACTTTCGCCCGTCGCCGCCGTCTACCCACAACCCTCTCCGGCCGCAAAACAACCTCCGACGCGTTTCTACCGCCGTCAGTTGTCGGAAACCGGAGCCGTCCGCCTCTAGCAACGATTCCACGTCCTGCTCTCAACCACTCGCCCAGAAAAAGATAATCTCTCAGAAGTCTCTTGTTCCCGTAGCTATGGCGCTCGCTGCTTTAATGTCCTCCTCTCCCGGTAACTATCCATTTTTTATTGTCTCTATCAATCCTATCATTCACCTTTAATTCCATTATAGGACTTTTCTCTCTGGGGTTTATATATTTACTTAAATTCTGGCTATATTGGAGCTGTACAGTCCATAATTTGCTGAAATGAATTAGTTATATTTGATCATGAAATTATTTTTAATTTAATTTTTCATAATATTAAGTTTAAATGGGATGTCACATGTTCGAATTTCGACATTGACTCTTTTGCTTCAGTTGGTTGAGAGAGTATGTATAGACAGATACTACAATGTAATAGGTCAGTAGTACTTGAAAAAAGTTTAATATTAATATATAAAATTTATATATTCATAAACTACATTAAAAATATTAAACATAATAAATCAAAATTATAATGTCAAAATATTAAAGAAAATAAGAAAAAAAGAGTTGGTTTAACTTATAATACTCCAGTAGTAAATATGACGCATAAAGTGGGACATTAGGGACTACAATTTTATAAGTATTATACTAGTATTAGAGTTTACTTATAAGTAATTCTTTAACGCTTAATATTAATTTAAAGGTATTACATTTTTTCTAGTAAGTAACAATTAATAGCATTACACTTTTTCTCATACGCAACTTTTTAACTCATAAATATTACATTTTGATTCAAATGTATTACATTTTTCTTCGCACTTTTCATTACAAGTAACAAATAATTTATTCTGATTAGTATTATATTTTTCAGTATAAATATTACATTTCCGTATTGGTTCGGCCCATATAAGGACCCTTCACACAGTCTCACATGAAATTCACCCTTCATTGAAACATGTTTTGAATTTTGATGTTGTTTGGCTTTATGCAATTGTTTCGTTAAGAACTTGTACTAGAAACTAGTGGAAAATGTTTAGCATAATACATATAAATGAGTAATAGATGTGAAGTCTCATTGTCAACATAGAACATATAGACCCTATTTGGTAATACAGTTAGTTTATCAATTAATTTTGGTTTATTTGACCACTATTAGCTGTTTGACTTGGTTAAAGATTCGATATAAGTATTTGATTAATTAGTTTTTTGTAATTGCTTATTGCACTAAAATATTAAAATTCAAAAAGTTGCTCAAAATAGCTTTTTCAACCAGTTTTTTTTAGAAAGTCATCTTGCAGGTAATCAGCTATCAGTTAAGAGCTAATTTACCAAACATCTTTCTACAATCAGCTAATGCTATCAACTACTTAAACCCACTAACCCAATCAGCTAACAACTAACAGCTATTTACCAAACATCCCCATAGTTTAATTTGGTATCAGAGACTGTGTTGTGTGTTCACGAGTTGCCTTTCAATTGAACATTTTAACGTTTGGTGAGGCAGCTAATGCTGGATTTCTGTCGGGCTATAGTGGGATAGAATCAGTTCCTGGTCCAGAGTTACCTCAGATCGACTTCCTGAATCGCTGGAATGGTATGTTTTTTGGTAATTGTATTGTTGTAATGGGTTGTGGGTATGCAATTCTTTTGCGTTCTGGTGATGATATGAGAAACGGGATTTGATTTTTCAGAAGCAAATCAGAAGAAGTATGCGGAGGCGGATGCCAGATTCAAAGAGTCTCCCCTGCTTAAACAGTTGCTCGAGAAGTCCAAGCTAAATAAAGAGAAGTAATCTTTCTTCCTTGCCTAACTGTATATCATCCTTTTGTTCTAATTTATCAGTTCATCTGCTAAAAAGATGGTCCATATATTTTGCGCATTTGGATTATTACTAGTCTTCGAATGACAAACAATGTCAGTGAGATATGGTTGTGGAGAATTGAGAGCAAAGATCATTGTTAGTTACAATACTTCTCTTCTGTGTTTGCCTTTACATACCAATATTCCGTTCTCAAAAACTTAACTGCATATTTGTGTAAACAACTGGGAGGCCTTGAAGAGCTTTGGGGGTTAGTGACATAGTAATAATCACTTTTGACATATTTTTGGATGAAATGTAAGAGGAAGCCAATAAGATTTATCTCTCTTCTATTACTTGTTTTGAGTTCCTCTCTCTTGCATTGTATTTTCGAATCCCTCTCTTTCGCTCGCACTGGCAGCTTAGTTGGTTCTTGAGTGGTAGATTGTGGGCAAGGACACTTTGGGTTGTGCTTAGTTGGTTCCTGGGTGGTAGATTTGGGCAAGGACACTCTGGATTGTGCCCTGACAGGTGCAGTGTGGGAGTTGCATCCAATGTGATGCGGCTCCTTGGAGACCAGTCACTAGTCCTCCAACCTATTGGGCCGCTGAGTCCTATAATTTACCCTTCCACTATCCTGTTGGACCGGGGTGTGGGGACCTTGGGGTGATGGAATTTCGCCTTTTGTGGGCAAATCCTTCTCTTTCGCTCGCACATGCAGCTTAGTTGGTTTCTGGATGATAGATTGTGGGCAAGGACACTGAATTATGCCCTGACAGCCACATTGTGGGAGTTGCACCCAATTTGATAGGCTCCTTGGGGACCAGTCACTAGTCTTCCCACCTGATGGGCCACTGAGTCCCGTAATTTACCCCTCCACTATTCTGCCGGGCCGGGGTGTGGGGGTCCTGTGGCGATGGAATTTCGCCTTTTGTGGGAAAGTCCCTCTCTTTCGCTCCATGGATTAAGGCCAAGAGCTAAACTTTGTCAGCTAAAAAAGGTTTTCCCTATGCTGAAATATTGCAGATGTTCAAATTTGTTCTCTAGGCTAGGAATCCTTTCTTTTTTACTTCTCTCTGTGCCCCACCCCCCTCTTCTTCTTTTACTTATCACCATTTTCTACCATTTCTACTCGCATTATTTATATAAACATAACTTATTTGCTTACGATTAAAGTTAGACACTCAAGTCATGAGAATGAAGTTACATTTATGTGATGTTCCTGGACTCAGAAACCGACAGTCCATTCAAGACAAGTATTGCATCCGAGGAGCTGAGTGGGGCGTCGGGGACTGCTCTACCGAAGGAATGACACCAGAAGAAAGGGACAACTTCATTTCCGCGTTGAAGCAGAAGGCGGGAGTAGAAGAATAGCGACAGCACCATTAGCACATCTCCCCGCAACATTGGATCTCAACTCGCAACCTCAGGTAAATCTTTGCATCGGTGACACAATAAAAGGTTTTAGCTTCTGGCTTTAAGCTCTCCACTTCGTTTGCAGGGATTCCTCTGCGGTTTGACATGGAAGGTTGCCTTCTATACCGAGAATTGTTGTGCAGAAGTAAGAAAAGAATGGTGAAAAGCATGTTAAGCCATCAGGCAAGATAGGAATGAAATGGGTACCCAAAATGGCAAGCACAAAAAGGATCCTTAATTCATTTTTTTTTTTTTTTTTTTTTTTATCTATGTTTTAGAACCATTGATGGGTGCTGGAAATGTAAAGATTTTCATGCTTTCATGTACTGCTTATTTCAATTGACACAAATTATAGAATGAATCAATAATCCCATCAAGTACTATGTCATGTACTGCAGGCTCTTCACTACACTATTTCAATTGACAAATTATATAAGGCATCCTCAATAGTGGGGATTTTGGTGTTGTTTTTGAGGAGTTTTTGTATGTGTGATTAGGAAATAGAAGATGTGATAGAATAGAAAAAAGAAAGAAAGAAAAAAAACAATAAAAGTTGATTTAAAAAAAAAAAAAAACAAAGTGGACCCCATAGTTATGCAACACGCAAGAGAGAGAATGAGAGAAGCTAGCAAAGTGGATCCCATATTTCTGACATAATTCTTGTTTTTGCTGGCGAAAGATTCAGTCTAAATTTTGTCTTCCCATTTGTTGAATTTTACTGTTCAAAAATTAGGGGATGAACCCCTATTGGGGTTGCCCTAATGGATATGATACGATCTCCTATCAAAATAGAACACTACTTTGAACGAGTATCAACTTCTGAGAGAAAATAAACAAGGAATAATAATCAAGAATGAGAGTTAGATGTATCAGAATCAACGAGTCTATGTTACAATCAAGTAATATGACTGGGTTGCTCACCAGTTCACTATGCAGTATTTGGGAGAAGAAACTAATTTTCAAACTTCAGTAGTAGTAGTGTGAGGATTATGTTCAAAGTAGGAAAATCCCTCGTGCACCGGCATTTGACCTTGTCTGTTGAGCTATTGAGTTACTGTGATTTACATCATCCCAAATGCTCTGTCTGGTCGGGGTGTGGGGGTTCTTGGGGTTGGAAATTCAACTTTTTGGGTGAAGTAATATGGCTGGATTGCTACTCTATTCTTAAGATTCAAACTCAATACCTTTTGTTTTTTTTTTGTTTTGGGTTATTTAAGAGGAATTAAAGTTCTATTTTGATTTACAAGAAAAGTCGTAATTTGACTTGTAACTATTGTCGACAAATGGCCACAAGGAGGTAAGTTGTCTATAACTAAATGCTTCAAACCAACAAAAAGTCAATAGACAATTTTATGGTTATTAAGCTAATTGTCCGACCAACTTAATTGAGTTTTTTTTTTTTTTTTTTTTTTTTTTTTTTTTTTTGGCTTGAACCATATATTGGTACATTTGACATTTTTTAAAGCTAAAATAAAAATATTGATTAGTTTACTTTTTAGTTTAATAAACCGACCGTTTGTTCATATTTTATATTACTCCGTAATAATAAAATCGAATAAAAAATATATTTTATAGTTGATGAATGAACCAATGAGCTGGTGGTTGTAATTTAGAAGGAATGATTATTTTGTTTATTTAATACTCCGTATGAGTTAGGAGCCAACTACTGGTGAATATAGTTAATTTCTTTTTTAAAAAGGTAAATTTTTTAGTAGGAAAATATGATTTTTCTAAATTTTTACATGTTAACATGATTTTATTTGAATAATTTGTAATAAATTTGTTAATTCATAAATAAATAATGTTATTTTTCCCCTTGAAAATTATCTATTGAATTTTTTATTTGAGTCGGTCAACTATAAGCAACTTAAAATGATTTACTATTTTTGTGATCATTTACCTGCTAGGGATTGTGAACTTTCACATAAATAAAAAAAAAATGATATTTTCCTCCTTAATTGTCATTCTTTTTTTTTTTTTTTTTTTTTTTTGAAAACTTAATTGTCATTCTTAAATGTTCACCATGGCAATAAAAATTTGTTTATTCATTAGCTACCTTGAGTTGACTGAACATTAAAAAAAGAAATTTATTGCCCTGAGAAGGGTTATTGCATAAGTCGGACATAATTTTTTATTTAAAATTTATGTGTTTAATTATTGCTAACACCCTCTTATTTTTGAAAAATCAATCTGTCGATTGTATTAATTGATGAAAGCTATAATAGAGAAATTTATATAGTACGCACTATGGCCGTGACTGCTATTTCCCATCCATATTAATGTTGTATATATTTTTTTAAGAAAATTTTATAATCCTAAAAAAAAAAAAAAGTAATATTATTTTTTAAATAATTTATTCGAGTAGGAGATTCGGATATCCATTCCAACAAAGAAACCAATAATTATCATTTTTCCCATAAAATACAAAAGAAAAAAAATCAATAATAATAAAATAAAAACAAATTACACGAATTACCCACCCTGTTTCGGTACGCCCCTAGGCCCTATCTTCCTCCATCACAGATTCATAGCTCAGCTCAATCTTCTCCTCCTGCGAATCTTAATTACAGGTGCGTGTTTGAATTACGCGATCGATTTCCTTTTCACTGAATCTATGGTTTTAAAATCATTATGGGGTACTGTTAATTAGGGTTTTGTTGCGTTTTTCAGTCTATGCGTTGATTAATTTGCCCATAATATTACCCTTTGGTAGCTATGTATGTAAAGCTGATGCGTTTCGCGTTGATTTTCCTTGAATTTAAGAGATTTGAGTCGATTAATGCACATTCTTTAGTTTAGTAATCAGGGATATGATTTTTTTTTGGGTGCTATTTTGATAATAAGAATACCTTTTTTATGCCAAAAATCGTAGAATTACGACATTTTTGGTTTACAGTGGCCTGAATTTTGGGTTATGAGTTATCTTTTCGATGAAAAGTAAGTGTTAATTTATTTCAGGGAAATTTCAGTTGTTTAATGCCAAGTAGGTGTTTGTGTGTGTGTTAGGGAAAGAGCGATTTTGGAAAGAGTAAAAAGAGGCAGAGATTTGAGTAGCAGTAGCTAAATATGTATCGGCCTGGGGCAGCCACCACCAACCGGGGTGGAGTACCTACTGATAGTGTAGATTCTGTGGTGACACTAGATCAAGTTCCCCGTTGGATTGATGCTGAGCAGAGGTACTTGTACGCGAATGAAGATCCTGCTTTTCCTAATACATATTTCCCAGATCCTTTGGCACCTGCTTCTGGGTCTGAGATTAATGGGGATGGTATCCTTTCCAAGTTTCCAGTTGATCATGAGGTGAACTCGAAGATATATTTGTGGAGAGGGGACCCTTGGAATCTTGAGGTGGATGCTGTAGTTAACTCAACCAATGAGGTGAGGAATAATAGATAGTTTTATCAACTTTTACTGTTTATCAGTATTCATTAAGACTTTTCCAGAGTCTCAAGTGGCATGTAAATCTTTTTGTTTATCTGCAAATATGATAGTCCTTGTGAATATATTAGTCATTAGTGCTTGCTAGAAGCAATAGAGACCATATCAATTCAACTTTATCTGAAAGCCATATTTCTTTTGTTGTCGACAGAACTTGGACGAAGCTCACAGCAGCCCTGGTCTGCATGCTGCCGCTGGACCTGGTCTTGCAGAAGAATGTGCAACACTGGTAAGCTGGAAAACATAAGTTTCCATATATCTCTATCAATATCAAAGGGTAACTTTGCAATTGCCTGGAGACACTCATGACTCTGATCAGCTTTCTTGATAGATGGCAGTGGCCTTATGTTAAACTTAACCAGCTATTTCTAATTTATTGGAAATAATGTTTTGCAATGTTGAAATGTTAGTTTAATTTTCCTTCATAGGGTGGCTGCAGAACAGGAATGGCGAAAGTTACTAAAGCATATGATCTTCCAGCTAGGTGCGTACTGCGTAGTTGTTTATTTTCTATATTATTTACTCAAAATTGAGAAATGCTTTGAAACAGAATAAAGAGTCACTACATATTGTTATCTACTTATCTTATGAAGCATAAGTTTCAGTTATTCTGGGTTTGTTAGAGCCCTTGTATTCTTTTTTTAATCTAACAAAACTATGATCAATTCCATATGAGTATAAGCATTTTTAATATCAAAATTTTCTACTCTTGATGTAGAAAACAGAGAATATCTAATCAATATTAACTTCTGGCCTTACATTTTGCTTCAGTTACTCATCCAACTCTACTTTTACTCACAGAAATGCATCTTCTCCCCAATCCAATAATCGTCTCTTTCTTGCAGGAGGGTTATACACACAGTTGGCCCCAAATATGCCATCAAATATCATACTGCAGCGGAAAATGCTCTTAGTCATTGCTATCGCTCTTGCCTTGAACTCTTAATTGAGAATGGCCTTCAAAGGTTGCTTGATGGAACATTTCTTGTTCAATTGCTTACTGAACCTTTTATCTTTTTATTGTTAAATTTCAACTTGTATGACATTGTGATCTCCCACCTTTTGATATGTGGATGCAGTATTGCGATGGGCTGCATTTATACAGAAAGCAAGAATTATCCACGAGAACCTGCTGCTCATGTGGCAATAAGTGAGAACGATCTCATATATGTGTATGGATGTAGTGTTTCCATGTATTCTAATTATGCTTAGGAACATTTTGTCATCTATTATGTGTTTGGTAATTCCTTGGTTCACCGTGTTTCCATTTTCAACTCCCCCAACCTTATTTTGTCTTATCTTGGACTAGGAACTGTACGGAGGTTTCTTGAGAAACAGAAGGACAAGATACAGGCAATTGTGTTTTGTACAACGACGTCATCTGATACAGAGATATATAAAAGGTTTCCTTGAATTATTCAATTCATATAATGCAAGTCTGATTTATAGTTTTGCAATCTGTCCAAACTTATTCTTAATGAGTTGATTGTGCTGTACTTATTGCTAATGAGTAGATTGCCCTGCACATTATTAATTTATATGCTTGTGCCATGTTTTTGCAGATTGCTTCCTCTCTACTTTCCTCGTGATAAACAGGAAGAGGCTATAGCCATTACAAAACTTCCTGCAGATGTTGGGGATGAGAATGGCGAGACAGTTATAGATGAACGTAAAATCAGAATAAAGCCTCTTCCAAAGACCAAAAAGACTGTTCCAAGGGAACCACAGACCACTCTTGATATCCCCATCAATGATGTTGGATTAGTAAGAAGGTTGGTCATTGGAATTTTTACATATAGGTGTGAAGATGTTTAGCTAATAAGGAAACCATTGTTTGTCTCTATGGTAGTATTGCATGCATTTTTAAGTGCTTGCTGGTTAAGACTGTCACTTGAATTGTTACTATGCCTGCCTGCCGAACATATAATTGTATATTTGTATAGATCCTCT